TACCTTATACAAATCGTACGTAGAAAAGACACGCTGGTTTATATCTTTATGTTTACATGATTGTTGAATGAAATTACCATTACCAGTTAACATGAAAATTATTTTATTGTTAAATTATTACAGATAACTTGTGATATGATTTTATGTTCAAACAGCCTGCCATACTTTAACACCGGAAGTACTCCAGTGTGCGCCCGCGTAGCTCCTACCTTATACAAATCGTACGTAGAAAAGACACGCTTTATATTTTTATATAACAAACGAATTAGCTTTATGAACTTTTATTAAGAAAACATTTTGTGTTGCTCCCAACGCGGTAAATTATTTCCTTTTGTGCTTTTAGTTGTTTTCCTCCATAGTTTTAAAATATTGTTGTGTTGTTTTTACGCGGGAGGTGAAAGGTTGAAACAAAATGGCTGAACGTTGATGGGATGCTAAATACCACCCTGGATAATCTGAATCWWAGCAGGTAAAATAAAGATCAAATTGACTTTTTTGATGCAGTTTTATACTTTTAAATAYCTCCTTTGTGTGCTTAGTGAAAACTGAAACAGGAACCGATGGTAAACAGCGGGTGACAGGACAGACAGAGCTGTTTACATCCATGTCCAAGCTTTATTTTAACTTTAACCTTTCTTTTTACATCAGGTATTTAGCATTGTTTGTCTCTGGCAGAATGAAGAGGTTGGTGAGTCCAGAGGGAGCGCTGTGAAAAAACATCACTGAGTTCAGAAACTGCAGACAACCCAACAAGAAGATGAACAGGAAGAAGGATAAAGCATTTGAGAGCCCTCGTCCCTTTAAATTATAAGTATTTTTAAATTTTTGCACACATGCATACAGACATATGTTAGTAGCTTATTTGCATGTAGTGTGGTATGTGATAGAGTACACAAATAATTGTAAAATGAAATTGTTTATCGTTTATTTTGCAAAGAAATGGACACAAAAAAGCAGATTTGTTAGTCTTTTCAAAGAGACTTTATCTTTGCATTATGGTTCTGTTTGAAACTAAGTGTTAGCTTTCCATCAACATTTCAGCCTGTTTAAAGGAAACAAACAKGTTCTGTGTAGTTTRGTGTCSTGTCAAAGTCTGAATGTGGAGCAGAAAAACAATAATCTGTCTCAGGAGCTCACAGAGAAGATTAGAGAAGTTCCAGATAAAAGCTACAAGATCATCTTAAGGCTGCTTCCTGTTCCTCTGACCACAGCTCAGAAGATTAATAGGTCTATGGCTTCATTCACACTGCAGGCAAATGTAGGCAAAGTTATTATACAGTCTTTTTTTTTCTCTTTTCATTCGAAAGGCTCTATGCACTGATTCCAAAACAGTTTAGTTTTTGAAAATCAGGATTTAAAGAACATCAAAAGTGGAAAATTAGGAAGCGAGTCCAGCATTAAATGGATAAAACACCATAAAAACATTGTGGAGCCCCACAGACGTAGAGCACGCCAACATTTCTCAACAAATTTTCAAACCAAAGCAGAAAACATTTAGATAGATTTAGAAATGATATGATGAAGCTCACCTGTTAACACTGACACACTGCATGAATAGCACAGTGCATTTAATAAAGTGCCTAACAAATACGACCCATATTAGATGTTTTTCCTGACAATCTGAACGAGACAAATGTGATTTTTTATTTCCAAATCCGACCCAGGTCTTTTCATTACATGGTACTGAATCAGATACAAATCTGATGTATTTCAAAGCGACTGCAGTGTGAACGCTCATGTCTCATTTCATCTGACTTTTACTTGAAGGGAGGTGAGGATGAAGGATGATCAATCCAATAATGATACAAACCTCGAGTCATGCAGTTTACATCTTGTATCTCCAAGCATCTTCAGCTACAGAACAGAAGTCCAGTTGCTTCGTATTTTAATTTTCCATGTCCTGGATAGGGTTGGGCTGTCCTGGAT